ATTAGCAAAGAAAAAATGCATCTAAATAATTTACAAAAAAGAAAAAAAGATGCAAAATATTTTGCATCCATAGAATTTTCCATTTATTATATTTTGCTCCTAAAATAAAAATAAAAAGTATGATAAATATACAATCTGTATATATTTATGTTTATATTTTATAATAATTTCTATTTTGTATGAAATATTAATGAAATAGATGATTTGATGAATCATATTTATTTTTATTCTTTTATTTATATGTTATTTATCTATCGTATTTTTATATATTTATTTCTCTGTTTATAATATGTATATCATTGTATTCTTCTTATTATCTATATATTATTATATTATTATATTATTCTTATTTTATGTTTTTTATGTTTATATTATTTAGATTTTCTTATTGTTATGTTTATATTCTTTTATATTTAGATGTATTTGTTTATTCATCTTTATCATTTTTATATTATTATCATTTATATCTATTTTCATTTTATATTTATTCTCTTTTGTTTTATATTAATATTAAATTTATCTTTTATACTTTGATTTTATTATTATATCATTGACTATCATTTCTCCTTTTATTTATCATTTATTCTTATTATTCTTTTGTTTTATATTCTATCTATGTTATATATTCATATCATTTTCATTTATATTTTATCACTTATTATATGTTATAATAACATAACACTTATGATTGAATATATAATAAACATCATGTTTAAATTATACATATAAATAATAAACATAGAAAGAATAAAATATTTTTCATTAATAAAATAATATTAATCATTTTACATCATTAAATTAGACACTTTTTATTGAATATTTCTAATTTTTACAATAAAAATACACTTTTTATTTCTTCTTTTCTTATTTTATTACATCTTTGTGATTTATTATTTTTATATTCTTCTTCTACTTTATTTTTATTCTTTTATATATTTTTATTCTTTTTATATTATTTGTTTTTCGTTGTTTTTCTATTTCTTTCTTCTATTATTTATCAATTTTATATTCATTTATTCTTTTTATTTCTTTTTTATTAATTCTTGGGTATTGTATATTTCTTTAATATTTCATTTGTGTATTATCAAATTATATGTTTTATTGATTTTATGTTGAACAAAATATTAAATAAATCAATATTTTCAATGTTAATTATTCATTATTTATTCTGAAATGTTGTGTATATTTATTATATTAAATGAATATGATGAATGAATATCAATATTATTGTTTATTTGATTTTAAAAAATAATAAATGAATATGAAATAATGAAATAAAATAATGAAGACAATGAAATGATAATGAAATAGAATAATCTAATATTGAACAAATCAAATAAAGAATATATTGAATATATCATTATTGTTACTTTATTATTTGTTATTTCAATTATTAAATATTAATAAATTATTATTCATGAATATTTAATTGATTGATATTTTACAATTTCATTTTCATTTTATTTAATAAATGAAATATAAATAATAAATGAATGAATAATAATTTAATATATGAAATAATAAAAAGAAAAGAAAGATAAATAATAAAGAAATATGATGTATTTAATATATAATATAATTTATTATCAAATATAATAATATCAAATGATGAATTATTTTTATTTCAAAATATTTTGCATCAATAAAAATGTTGCTAAATATTTTGCATCATTAAATTTTGCACTTTTTTTATTTGTTTCAATAAAATTTGCATCCTTTATTTTTTTTCATTCTTTTCTTCTTTTATCATCTCTTTTGTTTTATTACACTTTATCTTCTTTCTTTTTATATTCTCTCCTTTCTACTTTTATTCTTTCTTCATCATATTCTACTTCTTACTTTCTTTTTATTCTTTTATATCATTCATTCTCTTCTTTTTCAATTATTTGCTTTTTTTCGTTGCCATAAAAGACAATATAACAATATCACAAATCACAACAATGAGATGAAATAATGAAATAATGAGAAAGACAAAACAACAAGAAGTGATTATTAAATATTTAAAGAATAAGTTCCAATATCACTACTCAGATGAGTTGAATTTTTATAATTATTTTAACAAAAAGATGAGAATTAAAGAATGGTAGTTACAAAATAGAAATTAATACATATTCAAAAGATGATATAAACAAGTAAAAAGAAATGAAGAAACAAATGAAATAATAAGAAAATCACGAGTTGAGCATACTAAAATAATATTCAATATGTAAGAATATCCTAACTATAAACAATGTAGTAATAATGGTTGTGTGAATGTAGAGTTTAAGAATGAAGAAGAATGCAGTTCAAGAAAAGAATAGACAAATCTAACAAAGAAATGAAAGAATAGAAATGAGATTATCATAGATATGATTAATGTATGAAGTTTGAATGAGATATAACATTTATGAATAAGATGAAAATAAGAAAAACGATGGAAATAGAAGAAATGACGAAAATATAACAATAACGGTTGTAATAACAATATTGAGATTATTTAATAATGAAACAAGAAGAACAATGAATGAAATTTGCATAGAAATGTCATGTGAAATAACAAAGAAAAGATAATTATCATAAATATAAAAACACTAAATAGTGAATATAATGAATATATGTATGAAACAGAAGAATGATTATTTTTAGAGAGTGAATTGAAGTAAACTTACGTGAACAAGAGATAAAAGTGAATTTGATTTGAAGATAATTTAATTATTATTCTGTTTTAAATTTTTTATTGTTATAACGTCTGATAAATACTACTGTATGACATGGCTAAAACAATAAATTTTTCAATTAAGCCAATAACTATAATTTATGTCTTAATAATTCTTAACTGTATTTATGTTAATCTGTTATTTATGGCAACGTATTAAAAAAACTTCACAGTGTAACAAATAAAAGGAAAATAGATTATGTCAAAGATATTAAATTGAAGTTGAAAACAATAGTAGAATTATTGGACATGGATTTTTGATGTGAAAAATGTTTTTAAAGTGGTTTGGGATGTTATTTCTTCAGAGCAAATGAATCCTATTGTTTTTAATGTTGTGAATCCTTCATTAATTAAAGACTGTCTAATATTTGTAAACATTTCAACCATCTAATAATTTGAATATAAATATTTAGTGATCATTTATATTTTAAAGACAATATGTGACAACAACAAACAACTTGTTCAATCAAATTTTCGTTTCCAATATCATCAAGAACAAAGAATAAAGAAGAAGCTTTCATTTGATGGCATTTAAAGATAAGATTTGAATAATACACCATACTTTTGTCATTTGAGCCAAATTGAAACGCATTATTTTCATTAAAAAATGAATGAATAACTACATTGTAATACATATTTGAGTGCATTGTTAAAAACATATCCCCTACTTTCATGTTATCAATATTCATGTGTTTAATTTGATACTCATAACCTCCATAATGAATGTCATACTTTAAATTTGATTTTAAATGAAGTTGAATTGAACTTTCAAACCCCTTGTGAATAGGAATATTTAATACAGCTAATTCTCCATTAAAAATATTTTGAATTGAATTATGTCTTTCAGAGCAATTAGCTGGAAATTCTCCATCATGAAAAAGAATTGGAGATGAATTAAACTCTACAATCAATTTATTTTTAATTTGTTTAATTTCAAATGAAAAGTTAATTTTAATTGAAGAAGGAAGTTGTAATGGAATAATTTCTAATGCTTTAGGATTTCTAATTTCTGAATTGTCATCACAATATTCTTTAATACATCTCCAAAACAATGCAAAGTATTCATTTTGAGAATGTGAAACATGTTTAATTGAATCTTCAATTTGAAATAATGCAAAACGATGATAAACACTATTCTGTATTAATGACAAATATCTAAAGAATAATTTATTCTGTTCTTTATTTATTGTAATAATTTCATTGTTTTCTTCTTTCCATTCTTCAACAATATTTTTCCAATCCTCTTGTTCTTCAATTTTTTTTTCTTCTTCCTCTTGAACGATGTAATTAATTTCTTTATTGGTTTCACTTGTTTTTGACATAACTTTTTCTTTTTAAGTTTTTTAAAATAAAAAAGAAAGTTTTTTTACAAAGAAATAAAAAAACTAAATTATTGTTGGTGCAATTGGAGGAACAATGGATTGAACCAATGAATCTCCCCACCACTTTTTAAATACTAATGCTAACATAATTTTGTTTTTGACAAAATCATGACGATTACATAATACTTTAAATACACGATTTCCTAAATCTCTAAAATATGTTGTAAATATAATATCTTGAGGCGGAAAATTTTTTAAAGTTAATGCCATTTCACATATGGCATACCTTACTCTTCCATTATCACCTCGTTCATGAGTCTCTACAAATATAGTAAGTCCTTGTTGTGGATCACTTTTTAATAAAGCACGTATTGCTGCAACACGAACTTCATAAAAATTACCTACACTACAAAGTGACGTTAAGTCACATAATCCAGGTGCCATTTTAATAACAGCCAATGTTACAATATTTCTGTCTGATGGAATAATTTTGTCTTTATTTAATTCTCTTTTAAGGAATTTAGTAATTCGTTCATTATCTTCATCTTTAGAACTAACAATTTTTCCTAAAGCACCAATAACTGATTTAATAAAAACTCCATCTTGATATTTGTTTCTTTCATTTGTTGAATTTTCTGCGATTTCTAATAACAAACTAACTGCCTCAGGATATGATGGTAATGACAATGCATCAATTCTATTTTTATGTTTATCATCATATAATCCTCCCCAATTAATTTTATCTGTAAGACTATGAATTCTAACATTAGCAAAAGCTCCTATTAATCCTTTTTGTAATTCATATCTTAATGGATTAGAAAAGTCTAATGGTATAACTCCAACACTTTCTTCGTAATAATTTGTTTTATAAAATTGTTTTAATAAATGAAATCCTAAATACCCATTTTGTTCACATGACATACGAGCAATAGCATGTGCAGCAGCAATTTGAACTTTATAGAAACAACGATGATTATTAATTAAAAAATCAAACAAAGCATTAATTCCTTTTTCACTTTTACATTTTTCTAATCCTTCAATAGTAACTAACTGACCTCTAACTGTTCTAACAAATTCTAACTGTGTTAACCACATATATTCTTGAAATGATTGTTTATCTCTTTTTATTCTTCTTGGGTAATCATTGTCTGGATCAATTTCAATATAAAGAATTGGTACATCAGTTTCTCCTTGACCACTTCGTTTACAATCTCTTGAATCTAAATCGTACATAATTGTTTCACCAGTATCAGTTTTAATAGGTCTTTTTCTTTGTTTTCTAATTCTTGAATGACAAGGAATACTTTTACTTGTTTCTTCTCCAGTTAATTCAATAGTATCTTCAATAGTTTGTTCAACTTCATGAATTCTAACTGGAACAACATTATATCCTTTTTCTTTTCTAGACTGATGAATTTTAAAATCTGTTTGAATAGTCCTTTGCGTAAACGTAAAACTAACAGCAATTTTACTATATCCTGTTCCGTTTACTAACCGTTCTTCAAATTGTTTCATTAAAGAAGAGTTTTGTGTTTGTAACTCTTTGACAAACTGTCTTGTTTTAATATTTCTTTTAAGATCATCCATTGGTTCTCCATTATTTAAAACCTTTTCACAAACTAACTTTTTCATTCTATCCTTTCCTAAATTATTTTCCATTACTCCCATTGCTATATCAACTTTTCTTCTAAAATGGTCATTGATTTCCATCTCAGCAAATACTTTTCTTTCTTCAGTATGTAATGGTTCTCCCCACTTTTGGTATAACACTAATTCTTGTGACTCAATAGACTTATATTTGACATAATTTTGTCCATTTACTGTTTTAATAAATTGTTCTGCCAAATAATCACGAATACCTAATGTTATCCATTCATCACTAATTCTATTTGGAATAATATAATGTCCAACCCATTGTGATGCAACTACTCTTCCAATCTCAAAACTAACATGTCTATATCTATCAGCATTATCTTCAAGGTATAAAAGTTCTGTTGATATAATAATAAGACCAGCAAATGACATTGTTTGAGAATGAGGTAATTCTTTAGAAACGACTACTGAAAGAGAAAATGGTTCTGGGGTTGATGTATATTTCTTAATACATTGAATTGCTTTAGGAAACATTTGAGTTAATGTATATTGTGCTCTTTTTTCTTCAATTGTACCAGAAAAATAACCAACTTTTAATGATGATTCTATTGGTAATAATTTGACAGGTGCAATAATAAATCCATATGACTTGATAGGAATACGTGTCTTTAATGTATAATTGAACGTTCTCATCTCACCATTAATAATTGGAATACTTGGATTTCCTGTAGCAATAACTACATAAGGATCTGGAACAATAAAAGTCATTTCATAACATACTAATTGAAAAGAATTACAAATACATGGCATCCAAGAAGCAGTATCTAAATAACCATCTAATGTAACTAAACTTGAAGGAGTTGTATACAATCCACTTCCTTTATTTGTTTTATATATTATTCTTAACACATAACTATTTTCAGAGTTTAACAAAAGTTTTTCTGGCCAAGAAATCGTTAATTGACCAATACTTCCTTTATACATTTCTTCAAATGTTGAATAAGTAGGAGAATCAATAAGTGGATAATCATTATCAAGAATCCCAGGAGTTTGTGTAAAATGACATTGAAATGCAGGAGAATCATCTTTTGTTTGTAGTTCCAATGAAATTGAATCAATAATTAAACGATTAACATGTAATACAATTCCTCGATTTTTGACAAATTCAACTGTTTTATCTGACATTAAAAATGTCATTGCAATTTCACTCTCTAATTTCCATGTTTGTGGATCAACTATAAATTTACCAAATACTTCATTTATTGAAATAAATTTAATTGTTTCTTCTTGCACAGTTAATTCAACCTCCATTAAATTTTTGTTTTTAAGTTCTTCACTTTCCTTTGTTTTTAATCAACCCTAAAAATAAATCAACTAAAGAAAGAAAAACAAATAATATGAATATTTATGTTATTTAAAGAACTAAAAAATATTTTTAAAGTAAATGACATTTAATGGATATTTCTTATATAAAAAGCATTTTATTAAATTTTACAAAATTATTTAATGAAAATGAAGAAGAAAGAAAACTAATTTATTTTATAGTTGATGAAATAACTGTTTGTTTAAATATTTTAAATAATTTTAAGACAAAGAAATTTACAATTAGATGTCTATTATTTCATTTATAAGTCAAACTGATAAAATTCAGTTTGGAATTATGACAACGACTTCATTAAAATCGACTTATGATAATAGAACATATTCAAATGCATTACTTTTTATTTCTCCTAATAAAAAAAGTATAAATGATTTATGTAAACATCTTCAAAATCCATCATATAATAAATATATCATTTGTTTGTTTATTTATGTAATTTTAATATTAAAATTTTTAATTGAAGTAATAATTTTAGTATTTAATGAAACAATTAATGATTTAATACTTCAAAAAATTGCAACATCTGATATTTTTCATTGTATTTATAATATTTATTCAATTCCATTTCAATTTAAATGTATTACTCCAAACTGTTTTATTTCACTAGATAAAAATCATTCATTTAACACAATATCTTCTTTTCTTCTTTTAAACAATTTACATCCATCAATTTTTTTACAAACTAATTCAATTACAACTAATAATAAATTACTTGTTGAACAATTAAAAAAAGAAATACATCCATCAGATAATACATCATTATTAGTTATTCTTGATAGATGTTTTGATGGATATACCCCATTAATTCCAAATACTTCAGTATTTGGTCAATTAGTAGAATATAATCAAATAAATCTTATAACATATTTTATTAATAAAAGTTTTTATTTTAATTTCGAACAAATTCATACAAAACAAATTTATGAAATGAATTTTGTTGATGCACAAGAATATATTTCTCAAAAGAAAAAAGAAATTGATGATTCTTGGGAAGAATTAAAAGAAAAAATTAAAAATAATACATTACATAGTGGAGATGATGTAGAACTTAATCAACTTTCACTTTCTAAAAATAAATTAGATATCGAAAAAGAAGAAGTAGATGCTTTATATAAAATTATTTTTGAATTATCAAAAGAAATGATTAAAAAATATCAAACTAAAGAAAAATTTGGTGAATATTTTAATCTTCATAATTCATTTAAATTAAAAGATTTAAATGATGAACGAATAGAAATAATGAAATGTATTTTAAATAAAAATGGAAATTCAAAATATAATCAACAAATAATAAAAAAATGTAATGAAAAACATAGAATTCTTCCATTTAATTCATATTATGGTATAATCAATTCATTAATAACTAATACACAATATATTCCACCAATTATTGAATTACTTAATACAATAAAAAATATAAAAGAAACAAAAATTAATATATTAAAATATCTTAAACTTGAATATGGAAATATTAATAATTGGAATACAATTATTCTTTGGATTGAAGGTGGTATTTCTTTGGTTGAAGAAAAATATATCTTTGATTGGTGCCAAAAAAATAAAGAATTTAAAGTTATTATTGGTGGTTCATTAATATTAAATTTTGAAAATTATAAAGACTGGCTATTAGAATAATTTAATTAATTGATTCAAATTGAAATTCTTCAAAATAAACAGGTTTAACACTTATTTTATTACATTTTGGACATTTAAAAGTTAAACCAAGAGTTTTTGAACAACAATAACAATAACAACAATGCCCACAATTAAATATAGTATTAATATAATGTTTTTTACAATTCCAACAAATATTATCATCTGTTTCTTTTAAAATATCTTTGCATTTTGGCTTAATAATATTTTGATTATTATTTATACCTCCTACACCATTAAAAAATCCATTAATATAAAAATTATTTTCATGAAATTGATTATTTTCTTCACGGTTTAATGAAGAACAAATAAAATAATCAGAAGTTATCCATTCACAATCATTACCACTTATAGCTTTAATACAAATTGTTATTGGATCTTTTGGATATGTAATCATTTGAATTGGCCATGTATTAATTGTTGTTGAAGAAAATCCAGTAATAAAACTTACTACTTGGGGAAGAATAGCATAATTTTTTAATAAAATTTCATTAATATTTGAATTTGAATATTTAAAAGAACCTGACATAATTTGAATTTGTTTTGTTTCATCAATAGTATTATTACCCATTAATAATTCTGTTATTTTATTTTCTGAAAAACAAATATCATATGCAAGTATTCCAATAGTAAGACTTTGAATATCATAATCATTAAATTGTGCTTGAATTTGACAAAAATTCTTATTTATTTTAATAACGTTAATTGTTAAATTTGATAGATTTAAAGCACTAATTGATTGAATACTAATTATTACTTTAGGAACTTCTTTAAATGTTGAATTAAAAGTAATTTTTACTGGTTTACAATTTGTTATTTCTATTGAATCAGAATAAATAGGTAATATCTCTTCAAAAACAATATAACTGATTTCTATGACTGATGACATTTCTTTTTCTCCAATAACATCACAAGTAACTCCTGTTTTTGTTACAGACAACGCAGAAACAAAAGAAATATCACTTTGTTCAATATCAAATTTTGAAATTCCCCAAAACCACTACCTTTAAATTTTTATTTCTCTTAATTTAATAAAATAATTTACAAACACATGGCTGTTGGTATTGTTGACTTAATGACTCTTTTACAGACTTTTGATCTGAATCAATTGTTGAAATATTACATAACATTTTTTGACATTCAATTGACATTGAAATGTTTTATTATTTTTTTAAGTTTTAAATAACTCAAAAAAAGAAAATTAAATTAAAAAAACCAAATGTTATTCAAATTTGAACTCACAATATCACTCGATTAAGCGTGTGGTTTTTGTTTCTTGTTAGTCCAGAGACCCCAGAGGGAAACACCAGCAACACAGACAACTTTGAATCTAACACCTGGAATATCTCCGACAGCGTGTCCTCTTCTACCAAAACCAGAAATTAAAACTTCATCGTTTTCATTAACATAATTAAGTGAACCATCACGTGGAACAAAAGCAGTGATTTTTTTACCGTTTTTCAATAATCTAACTCTGACACACTTTCTAATACCTGAGTTTGGTTGTTTGGTTTCAATACCAAGTTTTTCTTGAACAAGTCCTTTGGCATGTGAAGCAGTTCCAAGTGGATTACACTTATATCTGGTTACAAGTTTTCCTTTTTTCCATTCTTTATCAGCCCATTTATTGGCTCTTCTTTGAGCAAGCATTTTACGAGCAGCATGAAGACCTCTAGCCATTACTCTGGACTTAACACTTTTAAGTTCTAGGTTTTTTCTATATCATAAAATTATAATATTTTTATTATTATGAAATAATAAAAATATTAATGCAAATACTTATTGACTTTACACTCTACTAAAATGTTTATGCATCAATTTAAAAAAGATAACAAATGTAAAAGAAATCAATTAATGTAATAAAATACATTTGATATGATAATTCAATGAAAATAATTGTAATAAGATAGTTAAATGAGATTACTTACAAGATTACTTACTAAAGATAAGTCTAAATGAGCAATTGGACAAGTTAATGAGTTTGATTTTTTCCATTGTTCTAAGAATTGGGATTGTTCATCAAATTCTTTAAATGCTTGATTGATATAAATAATATTTTTCTTTTCAGAGTCACTTAATTGCTCTTTATGTTTTTGGATATTTCTTAAAGTTCTTATTTTTTCTTCTATACCAATACAAACTGATCTATATTATTAGTATTAGTATTATTCAATTAAAAAGTAACAAACTGATCATATAATAAATCACCATAAGTATCATATTTATGTATTTCTTCTGGAAGAAGTCCACCATTAATTCTGAAAGAAGGAGCAAGTGTCATTTTCAGATGAATTAATTTAAAAAAGAAAATACGTGCTTGGTAATACCAATGAACAAAGAAATGTTCAAAATTATCCATAATAAAAGTAATAAGCATTACACGATATTTTTTATTAAGAATAGGAAGAAGTTCATAAATCATTGAAAACATAACAGTTAAAGCATAATATGAATCAGATGTAACAATTGCTTGTAATACTTGTATAATACGTTTCATTTCTATATCTTCTATAATAATTTTCTTTTCATTGAGTTCCATAAAGATATGTTGAAAAGATACAACAAATGTTGCTAAACTATCAATAGAATAAGCATTTGTTCTTGATAATCTATCATTAATATATTGATTTAAAATTGTAGGATAATCAGTTACACATAAAAGTGCTT